AAATCTCACTTTTATCAATGGACACGCAATTGCAATACCACCCACTTTCCCAACTCACAATGGCAAGCATAATATAATCCTCAAGTACACATTCCTAACTCAGCATTTTCTTCTATATGCGATCACATATCTTTATCTGAGTTTCATGTAGCACTTTCTAAAACATCCTCTTTCAAAGCTCCTGATCCAGATGATCTCCACAACATACTCCTCAAAAAATATGACTCCTCTATTCATACCGCTCTCGTACAACTCTTCAACTCTTGTCTTACTCAATCTGACACTCTAACTGAATGGAAAAATATTTTCATCACATTAATTCCCAAACCACAAGACTGGAAAGGAAACTTGGATTTCACTCGATCAATAACTCTCATCAGCAATACCAGAAAACTATTTTTAAGAATCCTAACAAACTGCATCTCCCTTATCTGCAAAAATCTCAATATTCTTCGTGACTTTAACTTATCAGTACTACCAAATACCAGCACTACTGCTCCTATTCACATCCTCAACAATCTATTCAAAGATGCTTGAACTCACAAGAAAGAACTTTGGTGCACCTTTCAAGATATGAAACGTGCTTATGACTCAGTTAGTTGGAATATTCTTTCTAAAGCTCTCATACGTATCAAAATGCATCCAAAATACATATAACTTCTAGACAACATCCACAATTCTCGACACAATCAAGTAATAACAGCCTTTGGCAATACAGAACAATACTCAGTCTTGGATGGGCTTGACCAAGAAGAAGTCAACGCTCCTATCCTATGGCGTATCTTTTATGACCCACTCTTATGTTACATCAATACCCACCACCAATATGACGGCTACACAATATAAACAACTAAATAAATTATATGAAAATAGAGGATTAACCTATCGCAAGCCAAATATTACCTCCTCTACCACACATCGCCAGTCATACAAAGAAGCTCTCCTTAAAACTACTACCAATCCCACTTCCACATCTCATAGCAACACACAAACCCCCAAATCTAATTCCACACGATTTTGGAACCAAATCAACTTAACTCAGACCCCAAATCCCAACACAAGCACATCACACACCTACAATATCAATCATAATCAATCTAATCAGTCACCTAAAGAAATTAATGACAATTATGATCAGAAAAACACACTCATCAAGCTTCGATCAGACATAGACCAACTATTTAGTCAACTTAACTTTCTTCAAAAAAAATTTGACTCTATCGAAAACAAACTCAATCAAATACTAGATAAACTACCACTTCTAAATAATAATAACAACACTATAACAACTAACTCATCACTTCTCTCACCCCAACATTCACAATTAACTGATCAACTAAATACAACCATCTTGAATCAAAAACACCAAATTTCAGAATTATCATCACTCAATCAGCAACTTCAATCTCAACAACAACAACTTCAATCTCAACAACAAGTAATACTAGAAAAGTTAAACACACTAGAACATCAAAATACTTGGAATGTCTAACAACTCAAAAAAAAATCATAACACACACATCACATCAAAAACTACAAATAATCATAATAATATAACTCTTAACCAAATCAATTACTCACCATCAATCACACAAAACAACTTCCATACCATAACTAACGACAAAAATATTGGTAACAAACAACCTCACACACTCAGAATAGCTACTCTAAACTGTCGAGGACTTAATTCTCACGAAAAAACAGAAGAATTACTATCTCTTACACAATTTCACCAAATTGATATCATTATCCTAACAGAAACCAAACTCAAAACACACTCAGCCAAATATTGCTTCAAAAATTTACCTAATTTTTCACACATATGAGCCTGCAATAATGATCGTCCCTTTGGATCAGGCATCAGCATACTCATTCACACCCAATGGCATAACCACATACAAAAAACCATCAAAATAGAAGGACGTTTGATTCATCTAAAACTAGCTTTCAGCCATTCATTCAATCTTAACATAATAGGATGCTACTTACCAGCAGTCAATTTCGGACAAGAACGCAAAATCAAACACAAACTGATGCAATACATTAATAATATCACATCACACGAAGAACATCTTATTCTAGGAGGAGACCTAAACGAACACTATTTTCAACCACCAGCTAATAGTCTAACAAACCTACTCCTCTTCAAAGGTCTCGATGATGGATTCCATCTCAAACATCCTGGCTTGCTAAATCACACATGGTCTTGACAACAAACATACCGGCGCTTAGACATGATATGGTTTTCACCATCACTTGCTAATCATCTCATCAATTCATCAATAATGGAGCAAACATAGATCGAGACAGATCATTCACTAGTAGTCAATGACATCTCAATTAATACTCTTTTACATAGGACACCACAACACATCATTAAAAGATATAAACGCAAAAGATATGCATACAAAGTCAAAAATGTAACAGACCAAACCTGGACAGAATATCAAGCACTTTCAGCCGAGTTTTTCAATCAACATCACACTTCATCAACATCACTGAACTCACAATGGACTCACATAAAGAAATCACTCATACAAGCAGCAAATGCAACCCTCAAAAAAATCAATATCAATATGAATAACCATATTCCCAAAATAGTCAGTATCACTCAAAAACAAGTTTCCATACTTAATGCCATAATCTATTTTCACTCACACTCCAACAATCCTAATGAAGCAAATAACACAATCCAAGCTCTCATCCATAAATATAACAACATAGATCCTTCATCTCCCTCCCTTCCAGACAATAATCAAGATCCAGAATGGATACAAAAAATCATTTCACTTAGAAAAATCTTATCAGTAAAGAAATCACTAGA